TTTCTTAGTAGTTAATTGTTCGGGCATCTCGTCGATAGCCTTGATTTGGTCTGGGTTGACTTCGATCCCTCTAAGAAACTCAAAAACTTTCTCGAGGCTATGCTAAATGAGCAACTCTCTGGGTTTAGTTTTATCCTGTACCATCTTAGTATGTCGAAAGCTTTCCTTAAGTGGCCGATATGGTCTTCTGCCCTTATGGATTTGACTAGTATGTCATTGATATATACCTCCATGATCTTGCCAAGTTGGTCCTTGAACATTCTTTTGATCGGTCTCTAATAAGTGGCTCCTATGTTCTACAATCTGAATGCCATGAACCTATAACAATGTGTTCCTCTATGGGTGATGAACGTGGTTTTCTCCTGGTCCTCTTCTTCCATGAGTATCTGGTTATAGCCTAAGTATATGTCCAAGAAACTCAGCAACTAATGCCTGACCGTTGTGTTGATGAGTTGGTCGATATGTGGCAATGGGAATGAATCTTTCGGGCATGCTTTGTTTAAGTCTGTGAAGTCTACACGCATCCTCCATTTCCCTTTTTTGTTTTGACCATCACTGTGAGCACGTGATTTTTGCCATATAAGAACTACTCCCAAAAATTCAAAATAAAATGCTTTTTGTGTTGTTTGTAATTTATGTGTATTTGTCTATTTTCTATTTTAAATGAAAAAAATGCAAAAAATATGTGCTGCATGTGTATTTAGAATTTAATTTTTTCAAATTAGGATTTAAAATTTAGGATTTAATTAAGCAAGTTTGTTTTACAAAAATAGAAAAATCGCAAAAAAAATATGTGCTGCATGTGCATTTAAGATTTAATTTTTACAAATTAGGATTTAAAATTTAGGATTTAATTAAGCAAGTTTGTTTTACAAAAATAGAAAAATCACAAAAAATATATGGTTTGCATTTTTAGCATTTAATGTCCGAATTGTGTAATTTTATCTTTATTTGATGTTTAATTTCGTGTGGTAGCTATTGTTAGGAATTAATGTTTTAGTTAATTGTCAATTCTATAATTTAATTAGGATTTTTAGTTGAAAAGGAATTAAAAGAAAAATGAAAGAAAAGAAGAAAAGAGTGAAATTTGGGTCAGTTTCAGGGCAAAAATCAGGCCCGAATCACCCATGGACCAGGTCCAGTCTGGCCTGGCCAGAGGCGTCTTAAAACGACGTCGTTTGGTCACTTTTAGTCAAGGCCGTTGGATTAAATCGATCCAACGGCTGTGATTCAATCTCCATAACCCGTCTCCGGCCCGACCCGCTTACCCCGAACCACACCCGCCCCAGCTAAGCCTAAACGACCCCGTTTGGTTTAAGTGGCTTAATCCGGACCGTTGGTTCCCATCATCCAATGGCCCAGATTAATCACCTAATTCCAATATATCAAAACACCCAAACCCCCTCTCACCCGCCTTATTTCCACCCCTTCGTCTCCAAGAACCAGAGACCAAACGACCCTTCACCAAACCCTAGCCGCCCTCGTACCCCATCGCCTAAAAGACGGCGACAACAACGCCGGTGACCACCAAAATAACACCTTAGAACCTCCTAACCACCCTCAACCTGAATCCCCACTTTGTTGTCCTCGAATCATCCCCGCCTTGTTCGAATCTTAGATCGAAGCTCAGGACCCAAAACCCTAGTTCATCTAATGAACCCCAAACCTACACCAGGGCACCCCCTGATCACCCTCGTCACGGATCTGTTAACCACTTGCCTCGAATCAACCTCCAGCTTCTCGAATCTTCAATCGAAGATTCGAGCAGGAACTAGATCTACCCCAACCAGTCCCAAACTCATACCAGACATGTCCCTGACCTCCCTCGTCACCAAACCACCGTGGGTTTGGTTCGAATCAGACCAAAACCACTCGAACCCCAAATCAAACCCCTAAGAACCCTAGCAAGCCAGAGTTTGAAATTTGTCCCAACTGAAGGAGGATTTGGGGTCTAACCGACTTTAGTCGAAGTGTTCTCAGTTGAGAATACTCGATTAAGGTCCGTTCGACCTCAAACAGTTCGAGTGTGAGTTCGAACCAGGGTCGTCCATGTTTCCTAGAAAGCTTGAGGTATTTTCCATTTCCTATTTGTCCCAGTTGTTGTTTGTTTATTCTGTTTATTTGTTTAGTTTAGTTTTATTGGTTTTTCAATTTCTTTTGTCGATTGTTCTGTTCTTCTCCCTCAGACCTTTTTATTTGGTCAAATTTGTTTCTGTCCGTTGTTAATTATAGGCTGTGTAGTCGGTTCGAATAAGTTCGTTGATTAGTTAAGTTTTATTATAAATCCTTGTTCTTGTCAATGTCGTTTGAATTGCCTGATTGTCCATTTCTGATTGATTGCTGTCAATTGTTTTAGGCAATTGGTTAATTAGATATCATCGATTAATTCAAGTTTTTATTAGTAGTTTCGTCAAATGATTTAAGGTCGAATGTTGTAGGTGCTGATCTTTAGGTAATTAGCTTCAGGGCATTGTCAATATGCTGACAATGATCCTGCATTTATGTTAATTTTGGTTCAATTTTCAGTTTCAGTTTTAATGGTTCTGTTGAGTATTGTGTGGTGTTAATGTGGTTTTGATTCAAGTTCAGTCTGTTGGTTCCAGTTAGAATTCAGCCTTAGTCATTTAGTTGTTAGAAATTTGGTAGGCTGGATTGATTATAGCTATTGTAGTTTGCTGTTTGATATAATCTGTGAGGTTTGAGTTGTCGTTTGATTTTGATTAAGGAAATTGGTTATAGCTGATAAAGTACAAGGGATTGGACTAGGGCAGTAATTTCAGGACTTTAGGGGGTAATTTGGAAATTGAAAACAGGAAGAAATGGTTGGTTTGAGTGCTCTGTCCACTAAGTATTAAAATACCATTAAACTAATGAATTGATTAGTATTAGTGGGGAACAAAACATAAAAGCATGGGGGATTAATTGATTATTATAAGCTGCCCATACCTTTGGGCACAAAACACTTGATAATGGGCTGTAAAGGAAGATGATGGGCAGAATCTGATAAGGTAAGGGGGGCAGGGTCAGTGTTTGGATATAAATAGAGTCATTTATAGACAGAAAAAGGGGAGTTTTTTTGAGAGGATAAGAGGATTTTCTGAAAAAATCTGGAGAGGATAGGTTTTACACAGTACAAGTTTTACACAGAAAGGGTTGGTTTTTTGGGAGCAGAAAGACAGTTCTCTTTATCCTTTCTTAGTCTGGTCTGGACTTTTCTTTTGGGGCAGACCTTAGGCATTGAACAGTCTGAAAGACTAGAAGAGTCTTAAGAGTGAGCCTAATTCAACCAATACTATTCCATTGAAACTGAAAAGAGCTTCAGCTTTAACTGTGGGGCTGTGTTTTTCGAGTTTTCTTTTGATTACTAAAATTCTAGGGGTGTGTCTGCTTGAGTTTTGATTGGTATTTGGTTGCTACCAAGCTATTGGGATCAGTTACTGGGGGTTTGTGTCGTTGTTGGTGTTGCTGGAATTCTGTTGGTTCTTCCTTTTAAAATCTGTTACTGGGTTATTTCTGTTGGTTGTTGCTGGTTATTGCTGCTGTCGCTGGGTTACATACTACTCTGCTGATNTATGAGACGAGCCTCGACAAACAAAAAATACACAAGTTGTGGGGCCCTCTATAAGTGTTTTTTTAAAATTCCTTAGACTTCGGGATGAGCTGCTTAGCAAAAGTTCATGGCCTTCCCAAAAATGATAATCTGCTAGTTGCTTTAGGCGTGCCTTTAATAATTTACTTTCTTAAACTCGGGTGCACATTTATGTGACCCAAATCTAAATCTCAACGGAGTCGAAGTGTGTCGATAACCACGGGTACATTGATGTGACATGGTTTGAGATATGTTTTCACAACGTTGCAATTCTCTGTTAAAATAATAATGATAATAATAAAAGTGGTCAAAAGTTAAAATTTGCACATAGGTTCATAATTGTATAAAAATCAGATAATTAAGCCGAATATAACAGTTGAGCGACCGTGCTATAACCACGGAACGCGGGAATGCCTAACACCTTCTCCCGGGTTAACAGAATTCCTTACTCGGATTTCTGGTTCGCAAACTATTAAACAGAGTCAATATTTTCCTCGATTCAGGATTCAACTGGTGACTTGGGACACCATAAATCTCCCAAGTGGCGACTCTGAATTAAATAATAAATCCCGTTTCGATCGTCCTTTAATTGGGAAAACTCCCCTCCGCGCCCCTTGGCGGTGGCGCGGGTGAAAAAGGAGGTGTGACAATCACCACGTTAGATATCCACTTGGGGTATTTCGACTCCCTGATGGATCCATTTTCTAATAGATTTTCTACCTCCTCGTGGACTTTATTATCGATGGTGGGGTTGAACTTTCGCCTGACTTACCTTATAGGGGATAGAATGGATCGACGTTCAACTTGTGTGTGGTGATCTCTTTGGGGATGCCCGACATATCTGTGTGGTTGAAGGCAAACAAATTTGCGTTAGTTATTAAAATTGACTAAACTTACCTGGTTCTTAGGGTTTACAATCGATGTAGGACTTTTTGCTGGGGTTTCTGGGATTTAATTGAACAGGGTCGAGGTCCTCAATAGTTGAGTATGCGGCTTCGACCTTTTTGGGGTTCATGATGACGTCCCTGGTCTCTTCTTGTGTCGACCTCAACATTGTTGATTAATATGCTTCTTTTTCCTTATCTTTCATTTGTTGATCGTCGAGCCATCTATGGCGATGCGGTAGCATTCCTGGGACGTGCGTTGTTCCCCTGTATGCTGAATATTCCCCAAGGTGTTAGGACTTGATCACTTGGTATAAGCTGGAGGGGACGACTTTCATGGGATGTATCCATAGTTGTCCTACTACGACATTGTATGCGGTGGCCTAGTCTATGACGTGGAACATTGTCTCCAGAGTTATGCCGTTGGTGAGGACAGTGAGTGTAATTTCTCCTGAGGTCCATTAAACTACATTGTTAAAACCCATTAGTGTGATGTAGCGTGGCGCTATCTTGTCCTTGAGTCTCATCTAGGCGAAGACTTGGGGATGGATAATGCATACTCCACTCTCATCATCTGCCATGATACTCTTAACATCAGTATCTAAAATTCGTAAAGTAATGACAAGAGCATCATTGTGAGGGAAAGTCAAATCGTCGGCATCTGACTCTTCGAAGATGATACTTTTTTCGAGCCTGTCATACCGTTCGTGGGTGATAGATCTTTTGAGCTTGTGACTGACGATGAACTTGATACCGTTGAAGGAGGCATCATCGTTGCCGCCAATAAGCATATTGATGGTGCGGTCCCATGAGCGCGACTTCGGCAGGCCTTGACGTTCTCGACCCCTGGCGAAGGTGCTCTTTCCCTTGTCGCTCAGCAGCTCTTTAAGGTGTCCTTGCTTCAAAATGTCCACAAACTCTTGCCTTAGGGCGATGCAATCTTCTGTCCTGTGCCCGCATTCCTAGTGGAATTCGTAGAAGGCATCAGATTTTCTAGTACTTGGTTCGGACCTCATATTTGGCGGCCACTTCACCTTTGTTCTGAGTTTTTCCAGGGCGTAGACTATTTTTGTAGGTGAAACACAAAAGTTGTGAGCAAATAATAGGGGGCATACCTCTCTTATTCCTATGAGTCTTCATCTTCGACCTAGATGGACCCTCATTATAGCGGAAGAAAGGAGGGACGGGGGCCCTAAAGTAAGGCTGATGTCGTTCTCTGTTCGACCATGGGATTGAGTAATCCTTCATCATGTTATCTCTTCATTCTCTCCTGGGTTCGGCTTATACCGAGATGAGCCATCGAGTTGACCTATTAAAGTCATCGTCATCTGCCCGGACTTCGGCACAATAAGCATTATAGATTTCATCCCAAGTGGTCAGATGGTACTTCATCAACTGGCTCAGCAACTTTCTAGTCGCTCTTAAACCCTCTCTACTCAACCCGTTCTGAAAGGCTGCGACTGCCATCTCTTCGGATATATTTGGTAAGGTCATCTTTACCCTATTAAATCGGGCGATGAAGTCCCTTAGTCCCTCTCCTATGGATTGATTGATGATGAAGATGTTGTTTACTCTTGTTTCGGCTTTCTTGGCCCTGGCATCCGCCATCACGAATTTTTCGTCCATTTCTTCAAAGGTTTTAATAGAGCGGGCCGGTAGCTGTGAGTACCATGTTAATGCCCCTCCAGTAAGGGTTTCGCCAGATTTCTTCAGCAAAATAAAGTACACATGTTCCTTGGCAAGGTCGTTGCCCTTCATGGAAGTGACGTACTGAGTCACGTGATCTTCAGGGTCGGTTGTTCCTTCATATATCCTGAGATACGGTGGTATTTTTGAAGGTATTTAGTATAGTATGTAGGGCTGCTTCCTCGCTATACGACTGTTCTATGAACCTGCCGGTGTCCCTCTTTGGTAGTAGCTTAGGGGCATCACGTATCTTGTCGACTCGTTCTTGGTATTCTTTCAGTTGGTCTTTGAGCAATTTGTTCTCATTCTCCATTTCTTCTATTCTCTTCAAAACAACGACGAGGACGCTTGTCACATGCACTATTAATAACATTATGAGTTATACCTGGCGTTGGAGGGTCTGGTTGATCGCCCTATTCGTCTCCTCGATGTACTGTATGGGATATTGCGGTCTCTATGGTTGTGCATGGAGGTTGTTTGTTGAGCACGCTTACTGATGTATCGATCAACAACGCTTTGAGAGCGTTTTCATGCCCGGTGGTGTCCCTTATCCTGTGGACGTGGAGGCCCCTTTTCCATTTGGTTTTGTTGTGTTACAATGGGTGGGAGGCAACCTTTCGCACCTAGGGGAGGCAGTGGGTGTCACGTCATCGCCCAACATTTCATAGTTCTCGTTGATAGCGTTTATGCGATTGCCGGGGATATCACCTGTCACCTTAGTTCTGTCTCCTTGATTACATGCATGTAAATCTCTATACGTGCAGAGAAGGAGAAAACCATTGTGGTTTGTTAGGTTAGCAAATCACGTGAGTTGTAGATCTAATGGAAACTAAAAGATTAGCTAAGAAATCCTCATAGATGGCGCCAAACTGTTTGACACAAAATTTAGATCTGGGCTTAGCCAGTTAGATTTAATAAAATAGAGTCAATCTTAGCCAATATTAATGTCCAAAAGATACGTTAAGTGATTTTGTAATAATATAATATGTATATTATCCAAATGACAATAAATGTTGATAACACTAGCAATATTCAATGACCCAAAAAGAAAGGGATAACATTAAATAACAATAAATATCAATGAATATTATTTAAGTAAATAAGAAAGTGTGAGCCACCCGAAAAGGGGTGAGATTTATGGATATTCCTTCTGACAATGATGAATGATTGATGAACCTTCGAATGTTCAAATTGTTCTTGGATCGAGTGGAAAAGTTAGGTAAGAATATTAACAAAATAGGTATATGTTGTATGTTTGCAATAAAACCAGATTCTACAGAGAAAGTCAATGTGTTTTCTTACAAGTGAATATCTTCTCCCCCTATTATTGTGTCTCTTTCTATTTATAGGGAACATATACCTAAAAACCCTGATCTTCAATAACTTCATCGACTCTGCCCTTCACCTTTTAAGAGACTACTTCGACCTTGGGCAGGCCTTTATCGAAGTCGTACTGATGACACATTGCAGCTCATAAGGGCCTACTTAATGCTAATACGATTTAATATCTAAGATAATTTTTGGCGCATACATTTAACACATTAGAACCACTAAATAACAAGAATACCTTTGATGTACTAGTAAATATATTTAACTTATGCCTCTAAAAATTTTTCTTTTTTAATCAACCTTTAATCAAATATCAGCGCATATTTAAATTTGTAAATTTATAATTTAATTTTATTAAAATATCACCTCTAAACACATAACGGAGCTTGAGGAATGATTGAAGTGAAAGTGATACAGACACTGTGCTTTCATTTCCCTTTTGTTTAACCTTTTCTGCTCTGGCAACTTTCTGAATTCCTCTATTTGTACCATATTTTGTCCATATGATAAAATTAAGGGTTATTTCTGTCATTTTCATGTGTAAATAATACTTTTAACTTATTACCCTGGTAAAGAATCTTTAGAACTGAATGTTGAATTTTATTGTCCATTCCAAATATAAGAATCAAACTTCTTCTTTTGTTACAATGGAATATGGAATAGGACAGTGTCTTTATTATCCCCGTATTATCAACAATGATCACTTTTTCTAAAGAATTTAACACAGGATTTGTCACATATGACATGTTAAAACAAAAAGCAAGACATTATCAATCCAAATGAAGGGATATTATAAAAAGGTGGTAATAATAGGGTTTTTTTCCCCTTGTAACATCAACATCAAGGTATAGCAAGGATATACTATTATGTGTCGGTTTTCTTATTGCTTTATTATTTTTTTGTTTTTGTTATAATTTCTGACTTTATTATTTTTAATATGACTTCTTTACCACTAATTTTCTTTTTCAAACCTTTGCTTTCTTGAGTCGTGGGCCTATCCAAATGTTACGATCCGGATTTTCCACCATCAGAAGCCGTGATGGCGCCTACTAATGTGAGCTAGCCAAATCAATCCTTTAAACTAATTACTCCATTATCCAATTAATTCTTTTTAACAGATATAAAGCGATAACGTATAAACAGCGAAATATTTAAATAATTAAGCGGAAGATAACAATTAAATATCTGAAATCTGTATCTATTACAACTCTTAAAACCTAAAGCACCCAAAACTTGGTGTCACAGTGTCACAGACGGTCTAAGATTTACTACATACAAAGTCTGAAGAAAATGACAATACACCGTTTCTGAATAAAAGGAAAAATGAAACAGGAAATAGGAATAGAGGAGACGCCAAGGCCTGCGGACGCCTGCACGTCTACCTTGGATCTCCACGTGGACTGAAGGTAGCCTCCACACTACGGTCCAAAAGCTGCTCCGGGATCTGCACATAGTGCAGAGTGTAGTATCAGCACAACCGACCCCATGTGCTGGTAAATGTCTAGCCTAACCTCGGCGAAATAATGACGAGGCTAGGACTAGACAGAATAAACAAATAAAGATGGGAAGGGGAAACATGCTTCGGGGAAAACAGGTAAAACTGAATATCAAGATAACTATAAAGGAATCAAAATCCAACCAATAACAAGAATAAGGAAAACAAAGGCAGATTTCACTTTCTTTTCACATCTTAGGCGTGCAACCCGATCTCATTTCATGTATCTCGTGGCAGGCGTGCCACTCACTCCCGTTTCATGTATCTCGTGGCAGGCGTGCCACTCGCTCTCATTTAATTTATCTCGTGGTAGGCGTACCACCTGCTCTCATTTCATTTATCTCGTGGTAGGCGTACCACCCGCTCCCATTTCATTTATCTCATGGTAGGCGTACCACCCGCTCCCATTTCATTATATCTTGTGGTAGGAGTACCACCCACTCCCAGTTACAAGCCAACAATAACCACAAGGAATCCCGACAAGGGAACAAGAGCAATATAACAACTTTCCGGCAAGGGAACAATGATATTTCAACAACATCTCGGCAAGAAAACAATAATATCAAACAAACATCCCGGCAAGGGAACAATACTATCAAAACAAACATCTCGGCAAGGGAACAATAATATCAAACA